GAATTATGGTTTGTTATAGAGCGACTGTTGAAAATAAGTGTATCGGTAAAGTTATATTCAGAAATAATAAACCAGTTTTATTAAGACAGGACTTGTGTCGCTTAAGTTTCGTGTGAACGAAGTTACGGAAAATCAACTAACGAACGGAGACGTAACACAGTGTTATATTTGGTTATGACTGAATATTTTGAATCGTGCAGATTGAAGAATTCTGGTAAACACACCGTTTTTACTGAATATTTTATTAATATTGTTTTAGTAAAAACTGCAACTAAAATGCATGACATTGCATAATGAAAGTATAAAACCAGAGGCAAGAAGTGGTCACATTTAGCCTGTTCCGAACTTGTATTTGAACGAAGTCCAATAGCACATGTTGATGTTAATGAAGTCCCATAATCATAAAATAGAAATTAGCACCTGTGTGATGGCTGGCCCGTTTTGTTTATTTGTATATGAACGAACCAAAGTCTGCAGTATTAGCCCCCCTCTCATTTCCTTTCTACTGGACCCAAGCTCTATTTGTATAACAACCAGACAGTAGTGAAAAGAACGTGGCTTGGTTCCAGGGTAGCTTTGTTAGGTGCTACCATGGTAATGACAGCAGTGAAATTTATGGTTGAATGTAGGTCAAATATGAGGCATAATGAATCCTGGTAAAATGGGATGCACACAGGTAAAAGATATGTGTTGTGTATAGGTGATATATACACAAGTGCATGCCACTTTACTACAGCAGTAGTTTTTACACACTGATCTAAAGCACTCTTAAGCCAGATAATTGTTGTAACAGCTTTAACCTACACTTACTAAACTATCGACCAGTCACCTTCACCTCAGTAGAACCCATGAATGAGGCTGCTGATGGACTGACCCTGAATCCTCCATAGCTGCAACAACCAACCTCTTACTGCCAGCCTGTCAGGAGAGGGTAAAGATCAGACTCCTTTGGCAGCTGAACAGACCATGAAACCCAGCTTGCCTGTTACCCAGCCAATGATGCCAACATCAGAATTAACCCCAGCCAGGGTTAAGCCAGAACCACCAGACTTAGGGAGCCAAGGAAGAAGTATCAAATGACTCATTTCATCAGAGGCTGTCCAGTGGAGAAACACCACCAACATCCTCTGTGTTTACATCTCTAATCGGATCATCACATATCTAAGCTCAAGAAAACTTTCTGTGAACTAAAGTCCTTAAGGAGATCTTCCAAGCACTGTGAAAGTTTACCTACACTGACCACTCCAGAGATTTTGGTAACATCCCACTCTCAACAATTGGCAGTGGAAACTTGTTTCTCTAGATATCAATATACCGGAATTGGATTCGACCACTGGTGCTTTGCAACCTGCTAAGTGGTCCCCAACCCCAA